GTAGATTACTCTCTTAAAGCAGCTGTGAAATTGATTGTTGATCTAATGAGCTTCTAATTATGCTTGTTTTACATAAATCAAGAAGAGATGGTGGCTTCCTTTCCAACGAACTTTTAATTATATTTATTGCATATAAATCAATAAGATATACTGGCCTCAAGTATGGATCAGCTTGAAATACGTCACAGATTGTCTGTATTGTGCTTTTTTCAGAATGTAATTTGTTATTAATTTCATCTGCAATATATATGCCATTTTCTATCAATTCTGCTAACAAGGATAGATCACTCGAGTTTGTTATTCCTTTAGTATTTAAAAACTTCTCGATCTCTTCCATTTTAATAAATTCTTCTATTCCTGGTATCTTTAACAGGTCTTCTATTGTGAGATTTTGAATTTTTTCTAAAGACTCTTGTGTAATTTTTTCATACCTTTGTTTGATAAAAAGCTCTATGAATTTCATTTTAAATATTTCTTCACAGAGTGTTTCCATAGTAGATTGTGGACTTCCTTCAGGTCTAAATAATGGAAAAAGAGTATTCATTACATGTGACCTAAATTCGTTACTGATGTCCGAAAACAAAACTCCCTGAAAAATAAGTAAGTGAGAAAGATAGTCCTTGAGATCGTGACCCACTTGTGAAATAAACCTACCATCTTTAAAATGCTCAAATTTAATATCTTTGATAATAGAAAGTACTTTTTCATATCTACACCCTTCTGTTTCCCTGAGAAAAAAGCGAAACAAGTCTACACTATTGAAGAAAGTCTCTCTTGCCTGCTGATCATTATGTATTTCATTTAATGATAAATATGTTTTTGCCTGCTCACAAAAAAGATATACTATATACCATAAGTTGAGCACACAGGGAACTTTTCCCCACTTCATTGCATCTATATTAATCAGCTCATTTTTTATTAGCTTCTGTACTAAATTAGCTCTATTCAGTATTTTTCTTACTTTGCTACCATCAAAATTTTTATGTCTAATCACTTCTAATACTTCATCTTGAGAGTTAAATAATTCATTATTTAAAAGGGCATGTGTTGCTTCACTATCGGTTTCAAAGGCAATTTTTAAATTATCTATAATATTTTTATTTCTCTCGTTATCATCTAAGCAATCAAAAAATGCCAAAAATTCATCAATGCTTTTACAGGTTTTATATAGTTCAGTGCTACAAATATCTTTAAGAACTTTAGTAGGAATACTGTCTAACTTATCAAATAGTTCGTTGTTCGATAGTAATGAGTACAAATTATTTATAAAAAAATAAGTTATGTGATCATAAGAAATCTTCATTAAATTGAAGAAAGAACTGGAATCTTCAAATTCTAGTATACCTGGTAAAGTGTTGTTAATATTGTCAATACGCTTTAAATTCTCAAATACGTTTTTCTTTTTCAACATTGCAGTGAAGAGATTAAAGTCCCTATCATCCATATTCTGAGATAAAAAGTATTTCATTACTTTAATTACACTAGATTGGTTGCTGGAACTCAAGGTTTCAGATATATTGCTTGCTAAGCCATACTTATTAAGCAAAAGTATGACATTAAATAATCTAATAGAATCTCTTGGACTATTAAGCGGGGAATATCCATCTAACTTAAAAAACGTTTTGAGTAACCCTATATCAATATCATTAATTACTTTAATACCATCCTTACATGCTTTATATACTTCATGTAGATCACGTTGAGCAAATAAAGACTTAAAATTACTTAATTCTAAATAATCCAATATAATCTTTGATTTTTCCTCATCATGAATTTCAGTGTTAACGTTCTTTATCAGTTCTGGATGTTCTTTATGACAAAAAATAACCTTCAGTGCATTTAAATTATTACTCTTAAGAAGCTCCACTAAAAGCTTCCTATTGTTATTTTTTACTTCGAGAAAACTTTCAAAGTTTAGTATGAAGCACTGNCATCTAACTTAAAAAACGTTTTGAGTAACCCTATATCAATATCATTAATTACTTTAATACCATCCTTACATGCTTTATATACTTCATGTAGATCACGTTGAGCAAATAAAGACTTAAAATTACTTAATTCTAAATAATCCAATATAATCTTTGATTTTTCCTCATCATGAATTTCAGTGTTAATGCTCTTTATCAGTTCTGGATGTTCTTTATGAAAAAAAATAATCTCCAGTGCATTTAAATTATTACTCTTAAGAAGCTCCACTAAAAGCTCCCTATTATTATTTTTTACTTCGAAAAAATTTTCAAAGTTTAGTATGAGGCACTGACTGATAAAATGGGTACTTAAAGCTCTACTTAACCCAACTCTTTCTTTAATCCATAATGAAAAAAAGAACTCCGGAAAAAGAGCAATACTTATAACTGTTAGTGTGCTACTAATCAAAAAAGCCAACGCTATACTTGGTATTGTGATCAGTAAAGATAAAATTGCTAGTGGCGCAAGAATGATAAATTTCAATGGCTGACTTATTTTTGCTTTTTCAATACGCTCAATCAAAAACCCGCAACAGTATGAAGGAAGTAATATTGTGTAGAATGGCACTGCTAATATCAGTGCTATAGTTTGATATAAATAATCTCTTATACTCTTTTTTGCCACTCAATACCTCAAAATATTACCTATATTTATTATGTTAAAAAAATAAATCTGGTCAACTATAATTACTTGTAGGCTCTGTGAACCAAAATTTTAAGCAAGCCATATGAGGGCCCCAACGAAGTTCAAACAAATTTCCCTTAACTTGACGAGTATAGTTTATTTAACACTCCCTTTATTTAGGCTTTTTAAACTTCGTTGGGGCCCTCATATGGCTTGCTTAAATTTTGGTTCACAGAGCCTAGCTTTTTTATATTTGTGGGTGAAAGTGAGATTTTAATGATATTGAACACCATTGGTTTGCTATCAAAAACAGAGCCAGAAAGAACGTTCCTATTTTCAAATCTTTTCGTCAAGCTGTTGATTATGCTTTCATATAACCCGTTCGGACTATTATCTTAGATGCTATATTTATGATGTTATCATACCATTACATAGTGGGACTGCACTTCTTAAGAAGTGTATTGATACGACAAAATTGCAATTGACACGTTAATTACGTGCTAAAAAGATGGTTCTTCACTTAAGGCGGGATTTTCTTGTATTTGTGTTTTATCTACTTTAGTGCTGGGGTGATCCTTCATACCTGCTGCTAATAGAGCCTTTGCTACCCCTTGATGACCATTTTTAGTAGCCATCTGTAACGCAGTTTCTCCATCTTTATTTTTAGTGTTAACATCCATACCTTCTGCTAATAAGACATTCTTTGCATCTATTTTTAATAGATACTCTACTATATCCGCATGACCAGTCGCAGAGGCCAAATGTAAAGGAGTATATCCACTTTGATCCTTAGCATTAATATATGCACCTCTTTCTAATAGATCCTTCACTTCATCTATCTGACCCTTTTCAGCAGCCAAATGCAAAAGAGCTCTTCCATCTTCTTTATCTATAGCATTAATGTTTGCAATAATTAATTTTTTTAACTCGATATTTATAAGATTAGCAACTATTAGTCTGCTGAGATGTTCATGCACTTTCATACCAGAAAGTTGATACATACGTACCATTGCACTGCTAGCTTCCTTTTCTAGACGTACTCTTTCTTCCATAGCTTCATATTGAGCATCTATTATTTTAGCAAAGATAGGGTTATCTTTTTTATATTGCTCTTTACTATGTCTCACTTCCAGGAGAAATATAAGGTTTTGTGCGCAACGCGTTAAACTAGCCTCATTTGCTTGCAGAAATTTATAAAGTGATATCTTACTCTTGCTAATTTTTATGTCTTTCATCTTCCGCAACTCATTTTCTGCATCTTGAAGAAGCTGTCTTATCTCATTATTCTTAGCTAAAGATATAGGAGTCATATCATAACTATTCCTTAACAAAGGATCTGCACCTCTTGCTAACAGAACCAGTATTACATCTTTATAACCATTGTCAGCAGCCCAATGTAAAGAAGTGTCTCCATATTTATCTTTAGCATTAATATCTACACCTTCTTTTGCTAATATGGCCTGTATTATATCTATCCGCTCATTTTCAGCAGCCCAATGCAAAGGAGTGCTTTCATTTTGATTTTTAGCATTAATATATGCATCTATTTTTAATAGAGCATTTATTACCTCTTTATGACCATATCGAACAGCCAGATGTAAAGGTGTGTTTCCACTTCGATCTTTAGCATTAATATCTACACCTTCTTTCGCTAATAGAGTATTTATTACCTCTATATACCCCCTTGCAGCAACCAGATGTAAGGGAGTTATTTCATATTCATCTTGAGCATTAACATCTGCACCTTTTTCTAATAGAGCATTTACTATCTCTATATTCTTCCCTTCAGCGGCCAAATGTAAAGGAGTTTTTTTGTGTTGACCTTTAATATCAATCTTGATGTCCTTTTTTGTTAATAGAGCATTTACTACCTCTTTATAACCATTTTGAGTAGCCAGATGTAAAGGTGTATCTCCATCTTTATTTTTAGCATCAATATCTACATCTTCTTGTGCTAATAGGGCGCTTGCTACTTCTATCTGCCCATTTTCAGCAACCAGATGTAAAGGAGTTTTTTCATATGAATCTTTAGCATTAATGTCTGTACCTTCTTGTGCTAATAGGGCATTTACTACCTCTATCTGCCCATTTTCAGCAGCCCAATGTAAAGGAGTTTTTTCATATGCATCTTTAGCATTAAAATCTATACCTTCTTGTGCTAATAGGGCGTTTACTACTTCTATCTGCCCATTTTTAGCAGCTAGATGTAAAGGAGTGTATCTATCTTCATCTTCAGCATTAAAATCTATACCTTTTTGTGCTAATAGAGCATTTACTACCTCTATCTGCCCATTTCCAGCAGCCCAATGTAAAGGGATTTTTTCATTTTTGTCTCCATAATGCATAATTTCCCTCAAATGAATTATAGTGAATGTTATACTATTTTAGTTAAAACTGTATTAATACTCTTTTTTCTAAATTTGTACTAGGTGTATGGTCCCAAAGTATGATGGTGAGGATTAAGTATAAATAAATCTGAAGATTTTGTCCACTGATCACATATAGCTAACTCAAACAAGGTTTACTTGGATAAAATTATATGATAAAAAGGTGTATTGAATAAATAAAGAGGGTAAAAATGCCAGGACCATATAGTGAAGATGTGCGGGAACGAGTTTTCAAGATGATAGACGAAAAAAAATGTCTATGAAAAAAATCAGTGAAACATTTAAACTGAGTATAAAAACAATATATTTATGGCGAAAAAGAAGAGAAAAAACAGGGAGCATCAAAGCGGCATCTGGATACCAAACAGGACACAGAAGGAAGATAAAAGATATGGACAAATTCATCAAATTTTTGGAGGAAAATGAAGAAATAACAGCTGATAAGATCATAGAAAATTTGGTAATATGTGCAAAAATACGGTGTATAATTACTTAAAAAAAGTGGGCTACACATATAAAAAAAACCTTCTTATATCAGGAAAGAGATGGAAAAAAGCGTAAAGAATTCGTAGAAAAAATAGCAGAAATAAAAGAAGAAAACCTAATATTTATAGGAAGAAAATCTGGTATTTATAGACGAATCTGGTATTGATGACAACGAGTTTTATGCGTACGGATGGGCCCCTAAAGGCAAGAGATTATTTGCAGAAAAGCATGCATTTAAGAAAAAAAGAATTAGTATTATTGGAGCGCTAAATGATGGAAAAGTTGGCGCTCCATGTGCATTTGAGGGATATTGCAACAGTGAGCTTTTTGAAGCATATGTTGAAAAAATTTTAGTGCCAACATTAAAGCCTGGGCAAACCATAATTCTTGACAATGCAAGCTTTCACAAGTCCGTAAAAATCAGAAAATTGATTGAAAATGTAGGGTGTAAAGTGCTGTTTTTGCCGCCATATTCACCAGATTTGAACCCAATTGAACATTTTTGGTTTGCCATAAAACACGCCGTCAGAAAAATACTGCCAATTTTTTCGCCAAATATTAACGCTGCTATTGATTTTATTTTTCAAAAATCAGGTAAACCTTATCTTGATTAGCTATATACGCTTTTTTTTGTTTTTCTACTTTTATCCTCGTTTTGCAGGGGGGCTAGTTATGAAACTGTTTTGCTCTAATGCACTCTTAATTATGCTTGTTCTACACGAATTAAGGAGAGATAATGGTGCATTTTCTAGTGAATTTCTCATCAGATTTATTTTATACAAATCAAGAAAATGTACTGGCCCCAAGTATTGATCAGCTTGAAATACGTTACAGATTGTCTGTATTGTGCTTTTTTCAGAATGTAATTTGTTATTAATTTCATCTGCAACATGTATGCTGTTTTTTATCAATTCTGCTAGCAAAGATAGATCACTTTGGTTTGTTATTCCTTTAGTATTTAAAAATTTCTCGATCTCTTCCATTTTAATAAATTCTTCTATTCCTGGGATCTTTAATATGTCTTCTATTGTTAGATCTTGAATTTTTTCTAAAGACTCCTGTGTAATTTTTTCATACTTTTGTTTTATAAAAAGCTCTATGAATTTCATTTTAAATGTTTCTTTACAGCATGCTTCTATAGTAGATAGTGGACCTCTTTCAAGTTTGAATAATGGAAAGAGAGTGTGTATTACATGTAACCTAAATTCGTTACTGATGTCCGAAAACAGAGCTCCATGAAAAATAAGTAAATGAGAAAGATAGTCCTTGAGATTGTGGCCTACCACTTGTACAATAAACCTATCATCTTTAAGATCCTCAAATTTAGTATCTTTGATGATAGAAAGTACTTTTTCATATTTACTTCCTTCTGCGTCTTTAAGTAAAAAACAAAACAAATCAACATTATTAAGAAAAATCTCTCTTGCCTGCTGGTCATTATGTATTTCATTTAATGATAAATATGTTTTTATCTGCTTACGAAAAAGCTGTATTATGTAACGTAAGCTAAATACACAAAAAACTTTTTTCCACCTTGCATCTACATCAATGAATCCATTTGTTTTTAGTATCCATACTAAATTAGTTTTATTCAATACTTCTCTTACTTTGTTACCATCAAATTTTTTATCTTTAATCACTTCTAGTATTTCACCTTGATAATAAAATAATTTATTGTTCAAAAGTGCATGGGTTGCTTCACTATCTGTTTCAAAAGCAGTTTTTAAATTATCTAGAATATTTTTATTTCTCTCGTTATCGTCTAAACAATCAAAAAATGCCAAAACTTCATCTATAGTTTTACAAGTTCCACATAGTTCAGTGCTACAAATATCTTTGAGAACTTTAGTAGGAATGCTGTCGAGCTTATCAAATAATCTGTTATTCAATAGTAATGAGTACAAATCATTTATGAAAAAATGAGTTATGCGATTATAAGAAATCCCCCTTAAACTTAAGAAGGAATGAGGGCTCTCAAATTCTAGTGTACCTGGTAAGGTATTGTTAATATTATCAATACGCTTTAAATTCTCAACTACATTTTTGTCTTTCAACATTAGAATTAAGAAACTAAGATCCTGCTCATCCATGTTCTTAGGTAAAAAGTATTGAATTATTTTAATTAAACTAGACTGAGTATTGGAACTAAAGGCATCGGATATATCTTTCGCCAAGCTGTGCCTCTGGAACAAGTTTATATTAGATGGGTTAATGGCATATACATCCCCTGAGTCAGTAAAAAGTAATCTATATGCTAAGTAATGCTTATCAAACAAGTATATGATGTTGGATAGTTTGGTGGCACGCGTATTTATTGAACTATTGAATGCGGAATATTCATCTAACTTAAGAAATTCTTTGAATAATCCTATATCAATATTATTAATTATTTTAATACCATTTTTACATGTTTGATATATATTGTGTAGACAATACTGACCGTTCATATCTTTTTCAATTAAAGGCTTTACATTATTGAGTCCTAAATAATCGAATATAATCTTTGATTTTTCTTGATCATAAATTTCAGTTTTAAAGTTTTTTATAAATTCTGAATAATCTTTATGCAAAGAAGTAGCCTTTTGTATATTTAAATTATCACTACTAAGCAATTCTACTAAAAGTTCTCTGTTCTGGTTCTTTATCTCAGGGAAATTTTCAAGACCTTCATATAAGCCTTTACTAGAAAAGTGGGTGGCTGATAAACTTAAAACCTTACTCAACTGCACTCCTTCTTTGATCCATAGTGAAAAAAAGAACTCAGGGAAAAGTGTAATCTTTGTAACGGTTAATAAAGTGCTAATTAATGCATATAGCACCAAAGTAGGTATTCCACTGAGCAAAGATAATACCAATAATGGTGCAGCAATCACATACTTTAATACTTTATTTATACTTTTTGTCTTCCATACTAACTGAGTTAGAGAGAAAAGACCATAAAAAGGAAGCGATAATGCAATAAGTAGCTTTGTTAACGGTAATGCTATGGCTTGATATAAATAATCTCTTATGCCCTTTTTTGTCATTCAGTACCTCACAATATTACTTGTACCAAGTATGTTAAAAGAAGAAAGTCTTGTCAATTGTTTCGCTTTTAGCAAT